AGTAAATAAAGTTCCTATCGATTTGATCTCCAGTGTAATCTGTTTTTCTGTCTGCCACCACGAGTGGTAATAAAAGGGAATCAGGGGACGCGCCTTTGGGTTAATGCAGCGATCCATCACCGTCGGGGGCTTTGCCACGCTGCACAATCGAGAAACTGCCCCAAATTGGTGCAAGGGCCAATTTTCTTTTCCAATTTATTTTTGCTTGAGCGAAGCAATATCGAGGCAGGACGAGGAGGACGCGTTTCCCGTCCTTCCAGATGTTCTCCTGCTTCCCTGGGCTGGGCAGGGGCCTCCAGCAGCTCCCAGGGGGGGCGTTTTGGGAAGGTGCTGGGGGTGTTTGGGGTTTTGAGGCCAGGTCCGTGCAGTGGGACCCAAAGGGGGATTGGGATGTGCTTAGGAGAGTTTCACAGTGAGCATTGAGCATTCCAGGGCTGATCTCCCATGGATTGAACATCCTGAATGTCCCAGAGCTGATCTCCAATGGATTGAACATCCTGAATGTCCCAGGGATGATCTCCCATGGATTGAATATCCTGAACATCCCAGAGCTCATCTCCCATGGATGGAGCATTCCAAACATCTGAGGGTTGATCTCCCATGGATTGAACATCCCGAACCTCCCAGAGCTGATCTCCCATGGATTGAACATCCTGAATGTCCCAGGGTTGATTTGCCATGGATTGAACATCCTGAACGTCCCAGGGTTGATCTCCCATGGATGGAGCATTCCAAACATCTGAGGGTTGATCTCCCATGGATTGAACATCCCAAACATCCCAGAGCTCATCTCCCATGGATTGAACATCCCCAGAGCTGATCTCCCATGGATGGAGCATCCCGAACATTCCAGGGCTGATCTCCCATGGATTAAACATCCTGAACATCTCAGAGCTGCTCCTACGGATTGAACATTCCTGGGCTGATCTCCCATGGATCAAACATCCTGAACATTCCTGGGCTCATCTCCCATGGACTGAACACCCCAAACACCCCAGGTCTGCATTTCTCATGGACTGAACATCCCAAACATCCCAGGGCTGATCTCCTGAGAGATATTCCCAGACCTTGGCCCACCAGGACAGGGCAGTTGAAGGTTTTCCAGGGTATCCAAGCCATCCAGAACCACATTCCTGTCTCTGGCAGTGCACCCCTGCCTCCTGTCCCTGAGCCTGTTGCTCACTGAGATGCCCCCACACACAACAGGTGCCCTCATGGCACTGAAAATTGCCCCAAAATGTTTTTTTGGCAGTAAATTGATGTTTGATAAAGCTGGCTTCGACAGCTCAGTGTTTAAACATGACAAAATATTCAAATCCACCCTGAAATGATGCACTGAAGTCCCCCAGGCCAGATTTTGCTGCCGTCAGAGCTCAGCTTTGCAAGATGTCCCCCCATTTTCAGCTCCTCATCCCAAACCATCGATGTTCCCTTCCCTGAACAGACCCTGGGCACAAAGGTGACCCCAAACCCATCCCAAATACCTGGGATGAGAATGGGAAACCTCCCATTCCCCCCCCAACCCCTTCAGAAAACTGATAAATATTTCTAGAGAGAAAAACAAACACTCCGCATTTGGCTTTTTTGGTGGTTGTTTTTCTTGAAGAGACAAAGTGTTCCACAGAGAGCCGACACTTCCTACACAAGTTTGCATCCTCAAACCCCGAGATTTTCTGCCACGGATTTGGATGGGAAAAGCATCTCCAGCCCTTCAGCCAGCCCTCCCCACCCCATGCAGGATCACTGAGCTGGAGCATCCCACCGGAGCACTGCAGGGAGATGGAGATCTCCACGCTTTGCCAAATTTTCCCGCTCTCATTTGGGAACAAATTAGGAATAATCAAATTTCCTGGGTTTAGAAATACCCACATAAAGCATGAAAACAACTCTCATGCAGCAGCTCTTGTTCCCACTCAATTTAGGGTGAGCTTAGGAGGGAAAAAGATTACCCCAAAGCATCCTTAGAGGTTCAGGAGTATGAAAATTGCAGGTAAACCAGAGGAGAGCCAGTTCCCTATGAGGAGCTTAAGGCCACCCAGCCCTTTCCCAAAATGAACTCCTGGTTTGGGCACTGCAGCTGGATCATTCCCAGCTGCGCAGAGCTGGGGAGGCATTTTTGGGGAAGGCCAGAGGAGAAACCCACCCCAAACCCCGGGAAGCAGCGGGGCCCCGTGTCCTCAGATGCCGCCTCAGCTCAAGATGTGCCGAGATGTCTTGGAAGGAAACGGTGCCAAATCCATGAGCGGAGCCATTCCCGGTGCCAGCGGGAGCCGCCGCCCGTGCCAGGGGCTGCCTGGGGACCTGCCACCCCCGAGGCACAGCTGGAATTCCATCCCAAAATAAACAGGTGCCACCCCCAAGCTCCCAGCTCAGCCTTCCCTGCTTTTTGCGGATTCTGGGATGCACAGCCCGCATCCCCCTGGCACAGCCTGGCAGGGTCTGGCTCTGGTCCCCAAAATCCTTCCCACAGCCGTCGGCAGCAGCGTTCCCTTCCCGGAGAGTCCCTTCCCTTCTCCCGGCCCTGCTCGGCTTTCCAGGACTAAAATTAAAGGAAAAAACAACTGCCCACATTCCTGGGAAACTTCAAACTCCTGGAAAGCCGGGGACAGGTCTGCGTGCAGCAGCCTCTGCCAGGAAGGAGGATTTTTTTTTTTTTTTTTTTTGGAGAATCAGACATCTTTAAGGAAAAGTTCTCCTTCCAACCATGTGATCCGCAGGGGGAAGAGACTTCCCAGACGGCGGGGAAGAGCCGGAAAAACGGATTGTTCACACTCCGAGGTAACGCCAGCAGAGCTGACTTCTCCCTTAGCAGCTCCCAGCGCTGGAGCTGGCCACGGCAATTACAGAAATTATTGGGACAGGGCGGTTTTTGGGGGCCGGCGAGGATTACACCGCGATTTGGGAACGCTACGAGACGACGCCGCATCCTGGGACGGATCTGGGGTCACAGCAGGGCACGGCGCGGGGTGTCCCCCGAAATACCGCAGTGTCACGCCACTGATTGTCCCCTCCCCGTGCCCTCGGCACCCTCAGCACAGATCCCGGCTCTCCCAGTTCCTCCCAGTTCCTCTCCCAGTTCTCCCAGTCCGGGCGGCGCTGGAGCTCGGGCAGTTCAATGCTGCCACCTGGTGGTGGCAGGAGGGAACAGCAGCGCCGGGATTCCCCGCACCCCGATCCCAAATCCCATCATGATCCCAAATCCATCATGATCCCAAATCCCACCGCCACCCCAAATCCATCGTGATCCCAAATCCATCATGATCCCAAATGCATCGCGATCGCAAATCCCACCCCGACCCCAAATCCATCATGATCCCAAATCCATCGTGATCCCAAATCCCACCACGATCCCAAATCCCACCGCCACCCCAAATCCATCGTGATCCCAAATGCCATCATGATCCCAAATCCATCATGATCCCAAATCCCACCGTGATCCCAAATCCCACCGCGACCCCAAATCCATCATGATCCCAAATCCCACCCCGATCCCAAATCCATCATGATCCCAAATCCCACCCCGATCCCAAATCCATCATGATCCCAAATGCCATCATGATCCCAAATCCCACCGCAACCCTAAATCCCACCCCGATCCCAGAGCTCACTTGACTAAAAAACTTGTAAAAATAAAATCCGCGGTATAAAATATTAGATTAATTTTTCTCTCTCTCTCTCTCTTTTTTTTTTTTTTTTTGAGTTGTGGCAAAAAAACCCCAAACAAAAAAAAAAAAAAAAAACAAAAAAACAAAAAAACCCCCAAAAAACAAAAAAAAACCCCAAAAAAACAAACAAACAAAAAAAAAACAAACCAAAAAACCCCAAAACAAAACGCGGCAATGAAGTGAAATAAATCCAGTGGTCAGAATGTACCAAAAGTTCAGTGGTCAAAGTAGAGGAAACAAAATTGAAACGACAAAATGTAGCAAAAAATATAAATATTCAGTGGCCACAACAGGGAAATAAAATTTATTAAACTTTTCTCTACGTGTGGTCACTTGATTCCTGTTTTTCCTACATTGTGGCCATTTAATTCCTTTCTTTAAAATAGCCATGATGGAACACAAAATTAAATCATTAGGAGGCCGCAAATAGCAAAAAATTAAATTATTAAGTGGCCACGTGTAGCAGAAAAAATAATTTAATTTCTCTGCTGCCTTCTGGCCATTTAAATGGTCACAGTATATAAATATTTAATTGTTTAAAAGTTAAAGTAGGGGAAATTATAAATGGCTGCATTTATAGGGGAAATGATGGTTACAATGTAGCAAATATTCTAAATTGAAATGCGGTGATGTGGTGAAAATAATTCATTAAATGGCTACAATGTAGATGGAATAGCTGTAAAATAGGTGCAATGTAGGAAAAATATATTTAGTAAATGGTCAAAGGAAAAAATATAAAAAGTATAAAATTAAAAATACAAATGTAAAAGAATGACATATAAAAATAATAACAAAAAATTAATAACATGTTAAAATGCCTTAATATGAAATAATAATATATTAAATAATAAATATAAAATGATGGCATATAAAATAAGTAAATATAACATGATTAAATATAAAATAAAGTATAAATAAAAATATAAATACAAAAATATAAAAGCGGTTTCAGTGCAGTAAAAAAACTGAATGTGAGAAAAGTTGATTCAATGACCACAGCGTAGGGAAAAAGTAATAATAAATTACCAAAAAAATGACAAAAAAAGAAAATTCCATTTAACCACAGCTCAGCCTCCAACCAAACCCTTGAACCAACGAGGAAAAGTGGGAAAAAAGCTCCCGAGGTCCCCCTGATCCCAGGAAAAGCCACGGGGGGTCTCACCTTCTTGGCCCAGTGGTAGGAAAAAAATAATAAATTACAAAAAAAATGACAAAAAAAGACAATTCCATTTATCCACAGCTCAGCCTCCAACCAAACCCTTGAACCGATGAGGAAAAGTGGGAAAAAAGCTTCCAAAGTCCCCCTGATCCCAGGAAAAGCCACGGGGGTCTCACCTTCTTGGCCCAGGGGTAGCGCACGCGGGGCTTGCTCCACTCCTCGCTCAGCTTCTGGCGGTAGCCGTGGCACTTGGGGATGTAGGAGCAGCTCACGTCGCCCACCTCGGGGTAGATGACTTCCAAATCCCCCCTGGAAAAAGGGGACAGGGAGGAAAATGAGGTGGGAATTGGTGCCAGGCCGGGCTCGGGATGGGGTTGGGAATTGCGGGCGGGAGCTGCGGGGAGTTTGTTGTAAATTATTGTACTTATAAAATCCTTCCCTAAATCTGCTGAAGGACATTTGAATTCCTGCGCTCCTTGGGTGTTCTTCAGCAGATTTTGGGAAGGAATTCCTCCCTGGGAGGGTGGGGAGGGGCTGGGCTGGAATTCCCAGAGGAGCTGGGGCTGCCCCTGGATCCCTGGCAGTGCCCAAGGCCAGGCTGGAGCCCCTGGGGCAGTGGGATGTTCCCTGCCCATGGCAGGGGTGGGATGGGATGAGCCTTAAGGCCCTTCCAGCCCAAACCATTCCAGGATTCTTTGATTTGATTTCCCCATCCCTCTGTGGATGCTGCAGGAGCAGCCCTGGACGCTGGGAATTTGCTGGGCAGGAGGGCCTGGAGGGACAGGGAATGGCTCCCACTGCCAGAGGGCAGGGATGGATGGGATATGGGGAAGGAATTCCTGCCTGGGATGGAATTCCCAGAGAAGCTGTGGCTGCCCCATCCCTGGAAGTGCCCAAGGCCAGCTTGGAGCAGCCTGGGACAGTGGGAGGTGCTGGGCTAGGAGCTGGATGGGTTTTAGGGCCCCTTCCCCCCCCAGCCATTCCAGGATTCCATGGAAAAGCAGCCTCCTCCCTCTGAAGCTTTCCATGGAAAACTTCTGTCATCCCTGACGCTGCCAAAGGCACTTCCAAAGCCTCTGCACAGCAGGCTGGGGAATAACTCCAGGTGCCCAGATGTCACCCTGTTAAGTTTTTTTTAAGTCTTCTGATGTTTATATTCTAGTAATGAAGTTTCTCACGCAATTTTATGTAAATAATTATTGTTTTACATTCTTCTCTGGAGGAGGAGAAATTTGATAGAACGTTGGTTTGTCCAGTGTCACAGGAGAGGTGGCACTTTCATCCTCCAATCCACTGCCACTTTTGAAAGTCTACAAATATTGGTGGCAGGAAATAAACTTTTTTTTCTTCTTCTTCTTCTTTTCACCCTGGAGTTCCAGTGTCCACATCATTTCATTTCGTGTCCTACTGCGACGCCCAGAGACAACCCAGACCCAGGGAAAAGGAGGAAAAGAGCCAAAACTCACGGCCAAGGGGACACTGGAATGAACTGTGCTGGGAGGTGACACAAAGGGAACGGCCAGGAAGGGCAGGGGACAGGCAGGGCAGGGGACAGAGGCCAAGCTGGGCAGGGGACAGAGGCCAAGCTGGGCAGGGGACAGAGGCCAGGCAGGGCAGGGGACAGGCAGGGGACAGAGGCCAGGCAGGGCAGGGACAGGCAGGGGACAGAGGCCAGGCCGGGCAGGGACAAGGCAGGGCAGGGGACAGAGGCCAGGCTGGGCAGGGGACAGGCAGGGGACAGAGGCCAGAGGCCAGGCAGGGCAGCGGACAGGCAGGGGACAGGCAGGGGACAGAGGCCATGGGGCACGGCTCACCTGCAGAACTCGTGGTCGGAGTCGCTGAGGGTCTGGAAGATGCAGGTCCGCGAGGCCTCGCTGCCCCAGGCGCCCGGCAGGAGCAGGGTGAGCGCCACCAGCACGGCCCCCAGCAGCTTCATCCTGCCCTGGGGACAAGGGACAGCGAGGGTCAGCCCCGCGGGAGGCAGCACGCCCAGCCCAAAGCAGGCCTGCTCGGGAGGATCAGGTTCTTTTTTGGTTTAGAGATGGGGTAACTGAGAGGCACTTTAAAAACTTTGATTCTATTTTTAGTCTCATGTCAAGGGTGAGACAACACAGAGATAATTCAATTTTTATATATATTTATATATATATATATATAATATATTCATATATTATATATATATTATATAGTTGTTACAATTCACACCATTACTATCAGAAGCCAACTACTTTTTAATTACAATACATTATAAACATTTTTTGGCCAATCAGCTTTTGCCACACCATACTGCAAATGCTTTAAAGTTAATTATCTAGAATTACTCCTCGTGGGTTTTACTATAATGCATCTTTCATAGCTCTATTTCTCAGAAATATTTCGTTTTATTTGTAAGGCCATCCAAACTTGTTTCTAGTTATATTTCTCAACAAAGTCCGTCCTATATTATGCTATTTCTAAGTCAGTATTTCTTAGCTCAAGACTTGCATGCAGATGCAATCCTCTCAGTTGTCTCAGAGTCAAAAAGAACCGAGTCCAACATGTGTCCATCATTTCCTCCTGCAGCTCCACAACTTGAACCCCCTTTATTCCAGAAGGGAGCTGTTTCCTGCTGCCCCCTCTGCCAGGAAATCCCGAGCCCCCAGCAGAGCCCAGACCTTTCTGAGCAGTTTCCCCTTTCCCCGGTGCTTGGTTCCCCTGCACGTGGCACCGGGAATGTCCCCACGTGGTGACACCGCGCTCCGGGAGGGGACAGAGTCCCCATCTCCACCTGCTGCTCTCCCAAGCACGACGGAGAATTGGGATCAGGGGTGGCTGTGGTCTGTCCAAGACCATCCCCACGGACACACACCCAGCCAGGACACCAGGACACGTCCCCAGCCGGAGGCAAGGTCCTTGCAGGGGAACCTCGACCCAGCCACCCCCTGCAGCGCTTCTCCCACTCGGGGACAACTCTGGCCACCCCTCGAGGGGGACGAGGGGACACGGGGCCGGGTCCCCACCCCCCTGCCAAGCCCAGCGCCAGCCCTCACCTCCTGGGGGACCCGGTAGCCACGGGCCACCAGAGAGCCACTTACCAGGGTCCTGGGGACAGCCGAGCGGCTCCGAGGCAGCGCCCGGAGGTTTGAGGTTGCCGTGGAGATGGTTTCCTTGGAAGGAAGGGACAGAGGGACTGGGAATGAGAGTCAAAGCCCAGGGAAGGGGCAGCCGGCTGCTCGGGATCTGCCGAACGGTTTTTAACCCCCGGGCAACCGCCCCAACGGCCCCAAAGGGCGCCGGGTCTGCCCAGCCCAGCCCCCGGCCGCACCTGCGGCTGCTCGGGCTGCTGAGGAGCGCTGCGAGCCCAACTTGGATCTGCCCGTCTCGTCCACTGCCTGATGGGCGCCGGGGAAGAGGCACATGCGAATAAATGCGATAAAATAACAGTGGGGAAGAGCCGGGTGTGCGGGGATTGCAGCAGCGAGGGGATCATTACATAATGGAGCCGGGGCTGCGCGCTCGGGGAGCACGAGGAAGAGGCGCCGGGCTTAACTAATTAGAAACATTAATGGATCGGGAATGATCGGGAGCTTTTAGGGGCTTAATGGCTCCGGTTCCCACGCTGCCGAGATGGGCACAGCCCGTAATTAGAGCCTGAGCCGGCAATGGGCTCGCGTGAGTCAGGAGCAGGGTTTGCATCTTCCCAGGAGCGCCGGGCGGGCTGAGTCAGGGCAGCGTTTGAACCCTCACGGTGTCACACGGACGGGGCAGGTTGAAAATTTGGGGTCCCCAGCACCTGGGCAAAGGTGGTGATCAGCAGAAAATGCCCAGAAATGTGGCCATGGAATGGTGAGGAAGGCAGGAATTCCCTTGGAGAAATGGGGATGTGGCTGGAAGTTGGGCACGAGGCGGGGCAGGGAGATGGGCACCGGGAGAGCTGGAGATGTGGACAAGGAGCTCCTGGTGAAACAGGGAAAGGTTTGGGATGGAAGGACCTGAAATCCCATCCAGTGCCACCCCTGCCATGGCAGAGACACCTCCCACTGTCTCAGGCTGCTCCAAACTCACCTTGGGCACTTCCAGGGATCCAGGGTCAGCCCCAGCTCCTCTGGGAATTCCATCCCAGCTCCTCCCACCCTCATTCATCCCCAATATCCAACCCAAATCTCCCCTTTCCCAGTGGGAAGCCATTCCCTGTGTCCTGTCCCTCCATCCCTTGTCCCCAGCCCCTCTCCAGCTCTCCTGGAGCCCCTTCAGGCCCTGGAAGGGCTCTGAGCTCTCCCTGGAGCCTTCCCTGCTCCAGGTGAACATTCCCAGCTCTCCCAGGACCCAGAGGGGCCCCAGCCCTGGAGCAGCTCTGTGGCCCCCAGGTCTGGCTCAGGATCCTCTCCAGTCCCTTTGAAGTGGTTTTTTTTTTGGTTTTTTTTTTTTTTTGGATTCCCCAAAAAACACCAAGAAACCAAAATGGGATGATCTCAGAACAGGGATTTTTTTTTTTTTTTCCCCCAAGCCTAGAGGCTGAGAAAAGCCCTTTACAGAGCCAAAATCAGCCCCTGCCATCCGGAGACCTCTCACAGACCAGCCCAAAAGGGTTTGCCAATGGAAAAGGTGCAGGGGGATCTCCCAGGGATGCTCAGGAAGCAAAACTCACCAGAGCAACAATTTTACATTTTAAAAATTGTAAAATTTTATCCTTTTTCATCTTCCCATGTGAGATGAAGCATGACTTCCTCCAAAAAAAAAAAAAAAAAAAAAAAAAAAAAAAAGTTTTTCTTGTGTTTTTTAACGAGGATTTTATTTCCTCCACTCAGGAGACAGAGTTTAAAGGGCAGCAGGAAACTCATCCAGCTTCTACCAGGAAAAACAATCCATGGGAAAATGCTGCCAGGGCCGGACACCCTCTGCTGTGGGATGCTCCTGAGGGGCAGGAAACCACTGGAATATTTAATTTTTAACCCCTGCGGTCTCCAAACCCAGGCCAGGGTGACTCCAGAGCTGCTGGCTTTGCTGTCCCTGCCACATTCCTGGAAAACCCACCCCAGGGATGGGCAATTTCCACCTGCATCCTCCTCTTCCTCCTCCTCCTCTTCCTCCTGCCTGTGCCTGGAGCTGTCCCAGCTGGGAGGAAGGGAAAACCCCGGCAGAGGCTGCAGGCAGCAGTTTCCCCTCTGGAGAAGGATCCTGCCGTGGGAAAAGGCAGCTTTGGTGTCAAAGCAGCTCCTGGGGTGGGAGGAAATGAAACCTCAGGTTTGAGCTTTTCTGTTTTTCAGGTTCTGAGCTGCTTTAGTGTGTGGGGCTGGGTTCATATTATGGGATGGTGAGCTCTGTGCACAGAGCTGGGAGAAAAAACAATTCCTGCTCCAGCTGGGGACCAAGGACAAATGATCCAAATCTCAGCCCAAGAGCACAAACAACGCGGGCTGGAGAGAGAAAAACAAGGATGGGACTGCATGGGCTAAAGCTGGAATTGGACAGTGAACTGCAATGTGCACATGGAGCAGAGCTGATAAAAGTGAGAGACCCTGTGAGCAGTCGTGCATTTTGGGACCATTTGGGTTCATCTTGGGTTCATTTTGGGACATTTTGGTTCATTTTGGGCTCACTCTGTGACCATTTTGGTTCATTTTTGGGACCATTTTGATTCATTTTTGGGACCATTTTGGGACATTTTGGTTCATTTTGGGTTCACTCTGTGACCATTTTGGTTCATTTTTGGGACCATTTTTGGTTCATCTTGGGTTCATTTTGGGACATTTTTGATTCATTTTGGGTTCATTTTTGGGACCATTTTGGTTCATTTTTGAGACCATTTTGGTTCACCTTGGGTTCATTTTGGAACCATTTTGGTTCATTTTTGGGACCATTTTTGGTTCATCTTGGGTTCATTTTGGGTTCCTTTTGGGATCATTTTGGTTCATTTTGGGACCATTTTGGTCCCTTTTGGGACCATTTTGTGTTCATTTTGGGACATTTTGGTTCATTTTGGGACCATTTTGGTTCATTTTTCGGCCCATTTTTGGTTCATCTTGGGTTCATTTTGAATTCCCTTTGTGACCATTTTGGTTCATTTTGGGACCATTTTGGTCCCTTTTGGGACCATTTTGTGTTCATTTTGGGACATTTTGGTTCATTTTGGGCTCACTCTGTGACCAGTTTGGTTCATTTTGGGACCATTTTTAGTTCATGTTGGGTTCATTTTGGGACATTTTGGGTTCACTTTGTGACCATTTTGGTTCATCTTGTGTTCCTTTGGGACCATTTTGTGTTCATTTTGGGACCATTTTGGTTCATTTTGGGTTCAATCTGTGACCATTTTGGTTCATTTTGGGTTCACTCTGTGACCATTTTGGGACCATTTTGGTTCATTTTGGGACCATTTTTGGTTCATGTTGGGTTCATTTTGGGACATTTTGGGTTCACTTTGTGACCATTTTGGTTCATCTTGGGACCGTTTTGGTTCATCTTGTGTTCATTTTGGGACCATTTTGGTTCATTTTTGGTGCAGCCCTGGCTGGGCTCTGGTGCTGCCCAGGGTGGATCCATGGAGCAGATCCTTTTAATAAATCCCTGCTTTATTTTATTTATTATTTAATAAATCCCTGCTTTATTTTATTTATTATTTAATAAATCCCTGCTTTATTCTTCTGCCCAGCTCTGTTCCAGGTCAGTCTTCCCAGGGCACCAGGCCCGAGCCCAGCTCCTGTCCCGGCCACCCCAGGGTGTTCCCAGTTCCCTGTCCTGACTAAACCCTGTGGGACTGCAGGAATCTGGTTTTTCCAGCTGGGAAGCTCCTGGCACCGTGCTGGGTGTGATGTTCAGAGCCCAGGGAAGTCCAGGAATTCCCCCCTCATTCCAGGGTAGGATGAGAAACAAAGAGATGCTGCCCAGGGCTTCAAAATTTTCACCTTTTTTGGGTAAAACCACCATTGAAAACCTATTTAAATCAGTTCTCCCAGCTTT